CATGATCGCGGCTAGACTTCTCAGGGTAGTTAGTAGACACTATAGACTAAAATATGGAAAATATGGAAAAGGTACCAATTGGAACAAATTTTTAATTCTTCATCAAAGTTAAAACTTAGTACTTTTATGATGAATTTTTTACTTTCAATACTAAAAATTGTAAATTTTTAGTATTGAAAAACCCACTTTTTCAAGAAATTTTTTATTTTTTATTTTTAACAGTGTATATTACAACCTTTCCAATGATGTATATATTCTCAATTTTTAAATGATCTACATATTAAAAAAATAATAATTAATAAAATCCAGCATCTTGAGAATTTTTATCGAAAATTCATTAAAAACCTATCTTCGAGAAGCAACTACCATTGAGCCTGTCACATTTAGAATTTCATAAATTGGAATTTTCTTAGAGAGGGTATTAGTAACAAAACCCACTAACAGACATAATGATTAAAGTAAGTCAATTTTTGATTTTTGGCCATGTTATTTCCCATTGTGCAGTGGCGTGAGTTCTAATGACTCCATGGAAACAAAACTTTAAAAATTTTGAAAGTATAACGTCACGTAAACGTGACGTGAACCAACCAGGATTAATCTTCGGTATCAAATGAGGAAATAAGGAACTTATTTTTGTGCCTACACTTCGAGATTATTTCACTCCTTGTATTAAGTAGATTATCTCCTTTATACATCAAAATTTGAAACTTCTCATTCAAACATAGGTTGCAAACTCTTGATGCTGGGTTGTATGGTTTGCATAGCTTAACAATCTTCCATCTGACAAAAGGTGTAAAGTTTTTTTTTTTTTAATTCCCATACTTCTTCTTCGAACAAGAGTTTTGTATTATTTTAATACAACACTTCATCAAACTATATAAATGCTCAACCAGTCGAGCACTCTACTCGAATTCGTGCTCAAGATGGAAAAATTAAACATTCAATACTCAATTAAAAATATCTCAATACCATCAGAGCAAGAATATATTTTACAATTACTGGCAAAGACCGAAACGCTTATTAAAAGAATGAGGTGGAAAGAACTTTTTTTCATTTACAAACAATTGAATGAAAAAGATTCTGCCGATTATGTAAACTACGATATAAACTCTTCTAAATGTCTTCCGCAAATTATTTTGGAAAATTAACAATGTTTTTCAAGAAAAAATAGCAAACAATATTAAATCTATACGAACCTCGAAAAAAACTTTAATTCTAGCCGACAAAATATCAAACATGTACAAACTATCCAAAGATAAATACAACCATCCAACATTAATTCCGAGCTGAGAAAGAAACTATTTTTGAACCAATGGCCAAACACTCAAAATGTTATACATTGGTTTCAAACCATAAAAGAAAAGCAATTGTGTTAGTTCTTAGTCTTTGATATTAATGACTATTATTCATCGATTAATGAAAACCTACTAAAAAATGCAATAACTTTTGCAGGGCAGCATCTAACAGTAAATAGTGAACAAAATAGTTTTATACACCATGCAAGAAAATCATTATTAGTTAGCAGTAGAAGTGCTTGGATTAAGAAAAAGGAAGGAGTATTCCATGTCACTATGAAGGTCTTTGACGGCGTGTAGATTTGCGAATTAGTTAGGATTTTATTTTTTTTGCATCAAATCTCGCAGTTTTATGATAAAATTGACTTCGGTATATATCGAGATGATGGATTAGCTATGTTTAGAAACAAAAGTGGTCAGGAAATGGAGAGGATAAAGAAAAATTTTGTACAGATTTTTAAAAATAACAATCTTTTTATCTCTATTAAATGTATCTTGAAAATAGTTAAGTATCTCGATTTAACGCTAAACCTTAACGATTTCAGCCATACCGCAGACCAGATAAAATACTAAACTATAAACATATAGTTCTAATCATCCACCGAGTGTAATAAAAAGTATTCCTAAAACCATTGAAATAAGATTATCAGAAGCATCTGATTTAAAAGAATGTATACCTCCTTTTCAAGAAGCCTTGAAAGAATCAGGGTACATTTGCGAACTTACATACCATCCAAGTAAAAATCAACAAACGACAATCATAAACACAAGATAATTTGATATAATCCTTCTTTCAGTGCAAATGTTATAACAAAAATAAGA